TCTAGTGGTTAAGGCTCCAGGCTAGAAACCAGGAGACTGTGAGTTCTAGTTCCGCCTTAGGCATGAAAGCCGGCTGGGTGACTTTGGGTCAGTGTCTCTCAGCCCAACTCACCTCACAGGGTTGTTGTGGGGAAAATAGGAGGTGGAAGGAGTATTAGGTATGTTCGCTGCCTTGAGTTATTTATAAAATTAATAAAGGCGGGATAAAAAGTCTAAAAAATATTAGAAATGGGTAGGTGGATATGATCACACTCTTACCTCACATTCTGTACAACACATCCATATGTGAAGACCAGTTGCTTGTGTTGAGCTATAATACAATTTGTAACACTTTTATACAATATTTTTCCCCATCTTGCTTAGGTCACAATATATCACAGAACTATGCAAGTTTAAGAGAAAAGGAGAAGCCACAATTAATGGAGACATGGAATAAAGTCTGTTTAATTTACATGATACATTCCCTTTATCTGTCATAAACCTAGAACTTTCAAATGAGGATAACACAACAGAGTGGAGAATCCAATATTCTTACTAAATACTAAAGCATTTTGAAAGGCGAGATAATTTTTTGCACTTAAGTAAATTATTTCATTAAGGCTTTTCCCCCTGAATTCTAAATATCCCAATAATAAATTCATTTTTGCCACTTGTTACAAGTTAGGGAAAAGTAATCTTCCATAAAAAATAAGTAGCTGTTTAATAGTTACTTCCAAATGTAACTCTTGTGCGTTTATTTACTTAAGCAATGACTATTCATGCAGCCAGTTATACAATGGTTCTTGTGTGGTATTGATTTTTCCCCCTTGTTTGTGTTCAGTTTTATTAAGATGACAATAGTCAAGTAGGTCCCCTCTACTGAAGCACACAAATCTATTATAACCTGATTATATTTCCCCACTGGAAGCATTTTGTGATAGAGGGCATAATCTTTAATGGAATTTGTGTGAAATTAAATTATACAAGCATCAATAAACATAACATAATTCAGAAGGAGCAAATCTGCTTAATTTATTAGTAGTTATAATGGCATCAGTGTTAGTAGATTGCAAAGGCAAAGTTTTAAAGCAATAGCTGGGCAACAGTGCCAAATGATCAGAAAGTTAAACCTTTTATTAGACTACACTGTAATTTGATGGGTAAAATATTCACAGTTCTGTGTCCAGTACATGGAGTCAAAAAAATGCTTGCTTGCCTTCAGTGTTGTTACCCTAGAGAAAATCTAAAGTTAGTTTGATAATACTGGTAAGATGACAGAGATTGTTTTACAGTGCTAACCCGATATAATTCTTTATAGTAACAATAACAATATTAGCATGTCTTGTCCTGCTTTTTAATATACAGTTTTGCGAGTACTGTAAGAGCAGTTTTTACCCCAACAGTTCTTATTTCTGTGAAGGCAATAAGATGTTTTTTGATTAATTTTGTGGATGAGGATCCTCTCTGTCTAAGGTAGAGGTGTGCCTTTTCTGTTGGATCAAAGGTCACACCAAGCTTTGCATCACATATTAAGAGTCCACATTCCAAACAAAAGGCCCATTTTAGATAATGTTTAGGAATTTTTAGGGTACAAGCATCTGCAAAGCCCATGTTTAGTCACCTAACTGCCATTCAAAATATAAAAAGGGGCTGAATTTTTGAACCCATTCACTTGTAAGAGATCTAGGGTCCCAAATAATGATATTTGTTGAGTTCAGGCAGGGTCAGTTTTTGCAACCCTGCTCTAAAGAATGGTTTCATTTTACTTTTCATAATATATACTGCTAAGGCACATGTTGAGAGCAGGGTTGCAAAAGGTACAAGCTTTTGTAGATTTTCAACATAACTCCTAAAAGGCACTGTTCCTGATTCATCTCTGACAACTTGGCTTCCTGCTTTTCTTAAGAGCAGTGATGAGATATATCAGGAAAAGTAACATGGAAAGTTTCCCTTAAGAAAAACTCCAGATTATTCCAAAACTATCTTTACTTTAAAGCAATTCACATACCTATTTCATGTGTTCACATAGCTTTCTGTCCAAACATGGTAAAAGTATTGTCTTCTTTCCCCAATCCATGTATATAAGGAAGCATATGACTTTATCATGTTTCTAATTCAGACAGTCCTTCTCTCCAACAGAAGGGGGAAATGAGTAATATTTGTCTATGTCCATGTGAAAACTTGGTCTGAGGTTATGAATTTCCTATAAAAAGTTAAACTTAGGTATTAAAAAGAGGACTCATAATTAAAGAAGGAAACATTTGATGAAAAATCTTAAAATTAACAAAACATAGAACTTCATAATCCAGTTATTCCAGGATAAGGGGAAAGAAATTAGCATTTTTGCTTTATCTGAATATTCTATTTATATTTCAAAGATGCATACACAGTCTAGTGGAAACAGTACCAGCTCAACACCCTCCAGAAAGATGCAGTCCTCTGCACCTAAAGTTCGAAAACCGGTCAGCAATCGAATACATGAAGCAGTAAAAGCTATTGCATTGTGTCACAATGTTACGCCTGTGTATGAATCCCGAACAGGAGTGACTGGAGAAACAGAATATGCAGAGGTAGATCAGGATTTCAGTGATGAAAATAGAACGTACCAAGCTTCAAGCCCTGATGAGGTAAGGCTGCCATAATTTAATTTGCACTATTGTCATATGAATGCAGCAACTGTTCCTAGAGTTTACAAGAAGACAAGGTTTTCTGATGTGGCAGACTTAACAGATCATTTGGAGATGTGTTTTGATTTTGGCAATACTGATCCTCAAAACATCAACAGTCACATCTTCCTGAAGGTTCAGTGCAGCCATGTAAAGTGCTTTCCCAAATTATTGTGCATGCTCATGCTTTCACATAAGATCCTTCCCCTGGAGCTGACTGTTTATTCACAAGGGATTATGCCAATTATATATATATTACATTTACTTGTGTATATTCCATTTATTTGATTTACAATTATTTGGCATTTCTCCTGTGGAATAAAACCAGGTGTACCATATCCCAGGTATGTTTTAGACATCTTTTTAAATATACCTTTTTATGTTGGGCTTCTCAAGCCATTAACTTTAGCAAGGTGAAAATGTTCTGATCTGAAGATGGCCATTTCAGTGTCCCAAGCTTGAAAAACACATGTTCTGAAAGTTTTGTTCAAACCATGAAACACTTTTGTTCTGAGTATGAAGCAAAACATGACTGTTTCAAGGCACATCGTTTTGAGTGGTCCAACTGTAAGTAGGCTGTTGTTTTGCTACTTGTATTTGGGACATTTTTTTTTTTCAATTTTCCTGTCTGGCTAGCTTAATGGCAGAGACAGGTCATGTCCCACTGCTCTTGATTAGACTAGATGGGCTGGTATGGGAATAGGGTTTCAGAGGAAAGAAGCTGTTTAGCATAAGGCCAGATAGAAGAAGACAGTTTGCATGCCCAAGTTATGCTGTCTTTTAAAAATTGTGCTATGTGGAAGATACAATTCATGTGGGTAGATAGGTGGATGTTCAGTTTTGCTGTCCATTAGAATTGTGGATAATTCTGCTGAAATTAATAAATGTGAAGACTATCAATACCCTCTTGGGTTTGGTTGGTTTCTTGAATTTTGGTGTATATGTGTATTCTATGCATATGTTCATATCTTGTTGTATTGATACAATTAAAAGTACCAGAAATCTTGGAGGATTTCTTCGCTTTTTCCGGTTGGCAGCCATACCCTATGTGCAAACAAAGCATTGGGAGAGGACAATGTTTTTGCTATATTTTTTTCAGGCAGGGTTGCCAAGAGAAAGAAAGAAAATCAGCCAAGCCAAGAAGGGTTTTTTAAAAAAAAGAAATATTCAAAACATTGAGAAAATCTTGTAGGGATCATATATTAATTGAAATGAATGCTAAAATGTTTTTATATTCTCTGTTGGCTGATTACCAAGGGATTATTTAATCAAATTGAAGAAACTTCTGTTGTTGTTTTTTCCTGGGGGAACTTTTCTGATAATATTATTCCAAATGAATTTTTAGTTTTTGGAGCCATTGTTGTGTTCCTACTGTTTCTTGTGGAGATTTATTGTAATAGTTTCAAAATCATCCCCTTGGCCATATTTTACACAATTTGAATGGTAGATAGTATCCAACAAAGACTACCATCCAACTACTTTTATAGACCTGGGGTGAAAAACAAGGAAGCAGCAGCTGATTCTGAGTCTCCATTGTTCAATATAGCCAGAAGACTAAAAATGTCTCAAGTTTGTTCTAACAGAAAAAGAACACTCAAGCCATTTTGGTGGAATATTTGAGCAGGACTGTTTCGTTCTAGAGATGAACCAAAACACATATTTTCTGTTTTATGCACACCTCCAATGAATTCATCTTAATACCTTGCGTTTTAATTTATTGTTTTTACCCTGATTTTTACTTTTATTTTAATTGTTTTTAGGATGTATAAACTCTCTTGGTATTCTTTGTAATTTACTACATTTTACTGGCCTTTGTAAGCTGCTGTACTTTATTGGCTTTATGTTTGAAAACTGATTTGAGGGAACTGGGCCATAAAGTGGCTAAAAAGAAGTAGAAAAGCAGATCAGTAGAGTGCTGTCTCCTGAATATAGAAAGTGAACAAATACAGGAAAAGCCTTGATTTGTGGGCTTCTGCTGTAAATCATGGCTGACTGAAGAAATCTCCGCAAATGAGTGGAGATGACGACTGCTGTGTAGAACGAAAGACCAGCGAGTAAACCGGTTCTTCGAAGCTCTCCAGAGAAGTAGAGAATGGGAGATCTCCTGTGAGTGCTTTGAGTGACAGCTTCTCACGAGGAGACTGTAAAACAGCAGTCTTCTGCAGGTTTGAGTGCCAGGCACTGAGGAAGATGACATCTTTGCTCTCAGCAGCAGCAGAGTCTTTAATAAGGACACTAAACCAGCCAAACTCACTTTCTAATCACATTCAAAAATGTTCAATTTAACCATTTTAGGGATATTAGAGACCTTCAAAACAGTGAGCTTAATTTGACACCTGGTAAATTTTACCTTCTTCTTTGGATTTAAGAAATTTTAAACAGAGACTTAAGCATTTAATTTATTTTTTTTTTTTTTTTCTTACCACTGCAAAAAAAAAAAAAAAAGCCAAAAGCCCAGCCCAGCCCAGCCCCATCCAGGAGCATGGCGCAAAGGGGCATTTTGGCATGCTGCTGTTCAGGGGCTGCTTTTGGCTTCCTTTTTTTTGCAGTGTGAACCAAAAGCTCAGCCCCACCAGGAGTGTGGTGCAAAGGGGCGTTTTGGCACGCCATGCTCCAGGAGCTTATTGCAAAGCGACTTTTTGGCACACCAGGACTCTGGGGCTGCTTTTGGCTTTTTTTTTTTCCTGCAGCCGAAGTCCAGCCCGGCCTGGCCCAGCAGCCAAGCCAGGCATGCCTCGTCAGCAGTGGGAGCAAGAAGATGGCAAAGGTCAGCTGGGGTGGTGGATCACAGGGCAGCAGGGGTCTTGGAGAGCAGGGTGGCAAGGGGGACTGGAACTGGGCTGGGGTGGCTGCGGCTTACTCAGGTGTGGCAAGCAGCCCCAGAGCCTCGCAGTTCTGGGGCTGCTTGCCACTCTGCAAAGCAGGGTGCAGAGCAGCCAAAAGGGCAGAGATGAGGGGAGATAGGCAGATGGGGGAAGTTGGAAGCAATCGCCTTACTGAGGCTCAGGGCTGGGAGGAACCAAGCCCAGAATGGCTTGGATATGCATGGGTCCTTGCGTAACAGCCCGCGATTCTCAGTTAACAACGGCAACTGGAACTGCTGGGATTGCGGTCGCTAAGCGATGCAGTCAAGTGACATCTCACTTTACAACTGCATCGCTTAGTGATAGAAATTCTGGTCCCAATTGTGGTCATAAGTTGAGGACCACCTGTATACTTGGTGTGATGAAGGTTGGAAGTCACTTCTTTATTATTGTCTTTGTTGCCTTTTACTTTTTTTCTTTCCCTTTTGTTCTTTTTCCTGAACTTTCTGAAATTTTCTTTTCTTTTTCTTTTTTCTTCTAGTTTAGTTTGCATTAGTTTTTACTATGTTTATTAAAAACTTCAATACAATTACATAAAAAAGAAAAGAAAAACCTTGATTTGTACTTTGTATACTTCAAGATTTGTAAGAAAACAAACTTTGGATTTCTTTATACCAAAACTTGGACTATTTAAAATGCAGTCAACCCAGCTTTCTATACAGTGTCTCTGCTTGCCCCTGGTTTTCTACTATAGCAAAATAGCTTTGTTTTATTCAGGCAGGCATTTGTAGCTAATCTTGGCTACACAGTCAATCAGAATTTAGATTGCTTAGATGTAGACTAATCATCATTTTGTAATCCTTAAAATCAGTCTTCTAAGTGTTTTTATAAATTTAACTTTTCTTAATGATTTTTCAAATTTTGTTATAAAGATGCACATCTTTAAAATAACCTGAAACTCATTGTAGGATTAAAAAAAAAAAATTGGTTTGAAAGACCGGAAGGTCTTCATCATACTTTTTAAAAAGCTATATTGATGCAATGCCTGCAAATTACTGGAGCCTAAGGAAAATAATGTACGTGGTTCATTATTTAGTGTATTGAGCTTTCTTGCAGTTTGGTTGACGGATGATGCTAGTGTTTCCCAATCACACAAGTACTATTTTAAAAGTATTTTTATTGAATAAAGTGCTGTGGATATTGTACCCTGGAGCTTTATTTAGCAAAAACAGCTCAGCTGATGTTTTCTTTTTCACTGTGTAAGTGACCTATCAAAATACGCTTAGCATCCTAGTTTTATGTATCCAATCTTTAATATTAAATATTTTCAATTTTTTTGTACTGTGGTATGCAATAATATTCTTAAAGTTTATAATATACAGAGTAGATTGCAGATTAAGTTCACAGCAAACTGTAAGAAAAATACAAGTTACAATTTAGAATACAAGTTACAATTTAGAGTACAGATTATTCTTCCATTGCTAGAATCTAAAACCCTAGCCATTCAAATGCACCCTAATACATTTTAAAGAAACTAATGCCAGTGCATCATTATAATGTATATAGCTACTGTAGCTTCAGATTAGTAACTTATTCTGTATTCATAGCATTAGCTCTACTTATGCCAGACTCATTGTTTCTTATGATAAGTGATCAATATTTCATTTTCTCTGAAAGAATGGAAAGTTTCATTTGTCTATTCTTAGTGCCCTCAACAGCATAGCAAGGAAGTAAAACATGTTGAGGACTCAAACAGCAGAAGCAGAGTTGGCTTTTTGACACTGTACTGCATGTTCAGTTAAACTGGTGCTAAGATGATAAAATAAGGTAAAAAGAAATAAATAGGTAGACCAATGGGTTCAAAAGTCACAAAATCCAGACAATTCTTGTTATCAAAAGAAATCCATCTTTGGTATGAAAGAATGATTAATCTCAATATTTAATGACATACTAGCTATTAATTGATGGTATTTTAACTTCTATAATTCCAACACTTAGAACATTTAAACACTATGTTAATATTTTATGGAAACAGGGTGATTTTATCATGTGAATTAAAGTTAAACATGTTTAAATCCTAATGATCATTATCAGTGGATGGGTCTCATTTTTCATTATGAGATTACCGTTATACATACATACATACATACATACATA